AGGGCGTAGCTGTGTACAATCAGGGGACTGATTGTACAACCTCTCAAAAGGGCTAATATATCGAAGAACTGATGAGTGTAATCGGTGGATAGCATAAACATCAGTCAAGGCTGTTTCACCCCAAAAACGATCAGGACACTTAGCAGAAAGGATAAAAGCACGGACAGTTTCAATCATGTGACGGTGTTTACTTTCAGCTCGTCCATTTTGTTGGGAAGTATAAGGACATGAATGCTGAATGACTGTGCCCTCATCATAAAGAAATTTTAAAAAGGTAGAATCATTGTACTCAAGGGCATTGTCAGTACGCAAGACGTTTATAGAACAGAAAAATTGTGTGCGAATCATTCGAGCATATTGAATATATATGGTGGGTAATTCATACGATTTTTGATAAAATAGATCTAGGTAAAAAAAAAATACCTATATATGTTGGATAGTTGTTCTCTAGCCTCGTTTGTGTATCCAGGTAAAATGAGAAAAATCATCAACAAAAATAACAAAATACCGAAAACCATTCATAGAGGAAACATGGGAAGAACCCCAAATATCAGAATGTACCAAGAAAAAAGGTGTATTAGAAGTTGACAAATTTATAGAGAAAGAAAGAGTCGAGTATTTTCCAAGTTTACAATGATGACAACTGAAAGACTCAAAACGACCTGGACCTAAAAGAGTACCCTTATTATATAAAGAACGAACTTTAGTGGAAGACGCATGCCCAAGACGAAGATTCACTGGAAGGTGGACTGATTATTGGTAACAACAGCAGAAAATGAACCGCCCGTTTAGAGACCCGTTCCGAGAAGTCATCCCGTCTGTGAATCTTGAACCTGAACACCAGAAGATGAAAATGTAACATTAAGACCTTATTCAACCAATTGACTAACAGAAGTAAGATTCAAGACTAAATCGGGAATACAGTATGTGCCGGGAAGATACATGGAAGAGGAAGAAACTAGACCAGTGTGAGTAACAAGCATATGAGTACCATTGCCAGCATGTATAAGAGGTAAAGAGGATACAGAAGACGATAAAGACAAAAATTGTGGACTGGAAGTCATGTGATTGCAATAATTAGAATCAAAATACCAATTAGTGTTACCTGCGGTAGAAGACATAGCAGAATTGGAATGGATAACCTGTTTGAGAATAGCTTATATGCCTTGAAGAGTGTAAGACGAGTGCTGAGGCTCATTAGTGGCAACTGTTGTAACAGAAGAAGGGGTCGATGAAGAAGACCCACGAGACCCTCGATATTGAGAAGATGAACCTCCCGAACGTTGTAACTTGGTTATACAATTTGAAGCAATATGACCTCGAGCATGGCAGACTAGAGCTCTTGCAAAGCCTACAATGAACAAAGACTGATGGCTGAGGTTGATGTGACGAAGCAGAAGCAGAAGTAGGCACGGGTAATGCAGACTCAAAGTTTGGTGTCCTGGCCAGCTGTAGACGAGTCTCCTCAAAAGTGATCTCTTGAATGGCAGTATCAAGAGTAGGCAGTGGATGACGATGTAAGAGATAAGCACGAACAACCTCATACTCTGGACGAAGAGCCATCAAAATCTGAATAAGATCAAGGTGATCCGGACTAATCTCAGCCTGTCAGAGATGATACCGGATAGTTTGAACTTGCGCAAGAAACTCATTGACCGATTGACCCCGATTGCTGCTTGGTGGATGCAAAGTGCTCCAAAGCTGATAATAGTAAGCCAAGCCTGTAGTCTGAAATCGAGCAGCCAAAAAATTCCAAGCCTCCTTTGTATTGTCAAACGGGGCAAGCTGCACCTGAATAGCAAGGACTGAAGTATTACGTAACTAAGTAAGAATCTGATGGTTCTTACTATCCCAATCCTCCAACTTATCGACGCATGTTGTATGAGCATGTGGTGTGGAATTGTGATCCCCTGAAAGAGACGGATGCGGAGGTGGCAACACATCACCGGTCATAATTTACCAGAATCTTCTTCCAATTAAAAAACTTTTCATAGACTGTGCCCAAAGACTACAATTATCTCCTAATAAGACAACACTAATAGGAGAATGCAAATCCAGACGATCCATATCCAAAAGCAGATCAACACAATATCACGAAACAGATGAAAATAAAGGTACAGATCGGATCACGAAGCAATCAAAATATCAGTACGGGCATAAATTAAAAACGTCACGAAAACCAAAACCAACCTCACCAGGATGTAGCCAACGATGAGAGCAGTTGACGGCTGAAAAACAGTAGCGATCGGAGACGGAGGTAAGGCTCACGCGTCGGCTGAAGCTATCGGCGCTGTCTCAAGGATCCGACGCGTGTGGGCCCCACGCGCCGACTTTCGGCCTGAAATTTTCTACGGACGTTTGCCGTGTGATGCCGGAGAGGATAGTCGGGGTGGTGAGATTCAACGGTGGCTGGAGACGAGCGACGAAAGACCAACACTATGTTGGACCCTAAGCCTAGTCTGATACCATATAAAGAAGTGAGAAAATATATGATTTCTTGTATTAACATATTATTATGTATATAAAGACATAAGATCGGTCTCCCTTACGTTGGGCCAATAAACTTAACCCTACAATACATAATACAACAATTATCTTAATTTGGAAGGAAAATACTCAAACCAGATATTTGAAGTATTTCATGATATTAATTTGTTGTATGCATGATAACTTAGGCTACCTAGCAGGGTTTTAAGTTGGGAGGGCAAATAAAACAGGTATGTTAGCTGAGTGCAACATGGACTATTTGCATTTAATTATATAATATTTACTTACGAAATTTGAAATATTATTTAAAATGAGAATCGGATTTTGTTTCCCATATTTCAAGATCCATAAATGAATATGTTATGTTAAACTGTTATATACATAAAGAAGAATCAGTTTCGCTATGGAGCCATCGGATGACTCAACTTATGGAGTTATCCACACTTATTCACTAACAGTATATTTACACGTGTCCTACAATGAAAACAATTTTGACATGTGTCAATACATTAATGGTGGATTTGGTTGCTAGTGGTGATTGGGCATGATATAATCTTCTTGATAAAATCTAAGGCTATCCATCAATTCAACTAGTCTGATAACTTGTTTGGTTTATAATTGATAATGATATCTTTTAGGTTGAAACTACTTTTACGCCTTTCATTCCAAATTAAATTTTCATAATTTGCCTCAACACACAGTAACATCATTATCGCTTCATCGTCTTCCTAAACTGTCATCATCTCATCGCTCCCTGCCGCCGACTGCTCTGCCGTGTGCTACCTCCACCGACACCGGCTTTCATTGTGTAAAGCCACCCAACCCTAGCTCCAGTCCTTCTAACCCCAGCCCCAATCCCCCGCTTCTCTCTACACCAAATTTCTTGTGCAAAACCACCCAACTTCAGCCCCAATCCCTCACCTCTCTCAATTTTCCATCACAATTTCACTTTCAGATTGAAAATTTGGGGGAAATAAAAATTGCTCTGAATAACAACAAGAGCCGAATTGGGTTGGATAAATAATTCGCTCACGGCCGCCGGCGAATTCCCCCACCATATCCACCGCCGCCTTCGAGACTGACGGGCTAAGAAAATTGGCCGATCTAAAAGTAAGCTTCATTCAATATGTAGAAAGCTTAATTGGAAAGAAGAACTTAATTTCCACCCGATCAAAGGTGTTGTTTACTTACGAAAAAAAAAAAAAATAAAAAAAAAAAGAAGAAGAAAAAGAAGAAGAAGAAGAAGATGGTGAAGAAGAAGGAGAGGGGTTTACGGTTATCTTGTTGGGCACAAATTCAAGTTCACGAACAAATGAAATAGAGATGAGGGCTATTAGATTAGGGCTACATTGTAAATTTAAATAAAAAGTAGAGTTGGATTACACATCCCACCTCATAGGTGGGATACATAATACTAAAAGTTGTTTATAATTAACCGGCCCATTCCATTTTAACGGGCTTTCATTACTCGAACCAAACATCTTTATAGGCATGAAATAATAACAATAGGCCGGATATCCAGCCCAATCCGGCCAACCAAACACACCCTAAGTGATGAATGACTCCATAAGAAAACTATCCGATGTCTCACCGAAACAATTTCTTTGAGTAAAATTCGCTTTCAATGCGCTAATTCATTTAATGACAATTACAAAAACTATAATAAAGGTTTAAATAAATTAACTACATGTATTAATTAAGAGAATATACATAAAAAAATGTTTTTGTTATAAAATTTAAAATTATTTTCTTAGTTTATCTTATATATGACATTCAATTTGGTAAAGAATGACTAATTTAACATATCATACATGGAAAATAAATTGAACTGAAAAATTAATAAATTTTAATATATTCTTATATTTTTATTTTTAGTTTATAGGGATGAATTCCAAATTTATACAGACAATTTTGAAGCAGCAAAATTTATAAACATGAGATTTTTCCGAACACATAGAATTATGAAAATTCTTAATTTATATAAATTCCAGAAATAAAAATATATCAAATAAAAAGAAAAACTTATATATACATAATTTATTTTAATTTTTTTAATATTCAATAATTTAAAAAATAAAACAATGTCAATATAATATTTTTTTAATTTGTTTCTATATAAAACTCTGTCAAGTTCGATCCACTTATTTAGTATAATAAGAAAAAAAAAAATAAGAAATGCTTATATATACATAAAACTCCGTCAAGTTTGATCCACTTATTTAGTGTTCAAAGGGTTTAACAAGGGTTTAATATTTTCTTTTTCTTAACAAAATCTATAGCAACTGTCAATCCAAAACTGCAGCATTTTTTAAAAAATTGAAGACCCTTTTTATTTATTTATTTATTTTTTCCTCACCGCTAACATTTAATGCAACCTTAGAGGAGTTGCTTTCAAACTTCAAATTTACAAATAAATAATTCATGCAATAAATAAAGATTCCTTTTTTTTCAAAAATTTTTGAAACCTCACTTCCCATTTCTGGAACTTCCACTGCTGTAGTGTATATAATAGCCAAAACACTCGCACCTGCGAACAAGAAGCCAAGCCAACAAACTCTTTATATTTGTTGGCCGTCATTATCTGCATTTATTATCTTAACTGTGGGTGCTTCACACTCCTTTCCTCTCCCACCAACACTCCAAATCTCACCGCTTCACATAATTTTTCACTCCACATTTTGTTGTTAATAGTTTCTTTAAAGGGTTCTCCAAAGATTACATTTTTATTAAAATTTTCTCTCAAATTTTGCAGAGAGAGAGAGAGCCAGAGAGGGGTGAAAGGAGGGAAAAAATGGAAAGTAACTCATTTTCCAATTTAGTTTTATTTTTCTGCATTTTCATGGTGATGGGCTCTGAGGTGATCAAGTGTAGTGTCACTTATGATAAGAAGGCCATTATCATTAATGGGCAGAGGAAAATTCTTCTATCAGGCTCTATACACTACCCAAGAAGCACCCCTGATGTAATAGTTCTATTCATCACTCTTGTTGTTTGATATTGTTTCCTTTTCCTTGTGTAGTTTGAATTTTTCACCGAAGGAAAACTTGTTTATTGTTTTTTTTTTTTTTAATAATGCATATTGTAAGTTTTGTTTATTTAGTTGAGGATGAGTGGATTTCTTATTGTTTGAAATGGAATGTTCTGCAGATGTGGGAAGATCTTATATTGAAGGCTAAAGATGGTGGGTTAGATGTTATTGACACTTATGTGTTTTGGAATGGGCATGAGTCATCACCTGGCAATGTGAGAAAATCTTAGATGGGCCCTTTTTCACTGTTATATCACATCAAAATGTGGTTCAGTTCTTGAATTTTTATTCACCAGCATTGAATTTTTGTTAATATTCTTGTGTTAATTTCATTTTTTTCCTATGTTTCTGTCATGTTATAGTACAATTTTAAAGGTAGATACGATCTTGTTGGGTTTGTTAAGACTGTTCAAAAAGCCGGGCTTTACGTTCATCTGCGAATTGGGCCTTACGTGTGTGCAGAATGGAATTACGGGTAATAATCTCATCCACCAACTCCTGAATTTCTTATGTGAAGTCTTGTGTATCACTTTCTTCAATTGTTTCGCATTTATTTTGTCGATTTTGAATCTTGAGTTAGGATCACCAATTTTACGTCTTATGTATATGCAGAGGTTTTCCTGTGTGGCTGAAATATGTGCCTGGCATTAGCTTTAGAACAGACAACGAGCCCTTTAAGGTTCTTGACTCTAGCATTCAGTGTCATTTTCTTTGTTTTAACAATTCTAGTTCAGGCAGCTTTTAGAAAATGGCATTTGGTTTTAGCAAGTGTTATTATTTTTATGGGAAATTATGGAGTACAGGCTGCAATGCAACAGTTCACTCAGAAAATCGTGGGCATGATGAAAAGTGAGAAGCTTTTCCAATCACAAGGAGGTCCCATTATATTATCTCAAGTAAGAAATCACCAGATATTGTCTAATTATCATTGTTACATGGTTACAAAACTATAATTAGTTTCTTTCAATTCTTGTTGAATTAGATTGAGAATGAATATGGTGCACAAAGGAGGGCACTTGGGTCGGCTGGTGAGGCGTACATGAATTGGGCAGCGAAAATGGCCGTCGGTTTGGACACTGGAGTCCCGTGGGTCATGTGCAAAGACGATAATGCCCCTGATCCTTTGGTTTGTTATCTCTTGTTGTCTATGTTGTGAAGTCTTTTTCACCATTTCCCCTTTGTTTTTTTTCTCTAGATTCTAATGTGATGCGTCTATGGAGAGACTTCTAATTTTTATTTTTATTTTCAAATTCGACAGATAAACACGTGCAATGGCTTTTATTGCGACTCGTTCACTCCAAACAGACCTTATAAGCCAACTATGTGGACTGAAGCTTGGACAGGATGGTAATATACATGTCACAAGGAACTATTAGTTCTTTTTTTTTGCACCACTATTTTAGACACCACCTTATTGTTTTATATATCCTAACTATGTTTTTGTTTTCACTAAAAAATGATCAGGTTCAATGAGTTTGGGGGTACTCTTCATCAACGTCCAGTTCAGGATCTCGCGTTTGCAGTTGCTCGGTTCATACAAAAGGGTGGTTCATACATAAACTATTACATGGTTAGGTTCTTTTTTTTTAAAAAAATTATTATTATTATTGAAAAAAAAATAGAAAAGAATTCGTTTCAAAAATTGAATCTTGCATGAAATTGAACAGTACCATGGAGGAACTAATTTCGGGCGCACGGCTGGAGGTCCGTTTGTTACGACTAGCTATGACTATGATGCCCCAATTGATGAATATGGTGAGGAAAACTGTTAAATTTACTTAATTCTTAACCGAAACAAACTATGTGTTTCTCTCGAAAAAATGATTCCTTGGATAGTATCAATATTGTTTTTCGATTTTCTGAATAAAATCTGCCATTGTTAACTTGTACATGTTATGTGAAACTCTCATTTGCTCGAATTAGAGTTATAATGCTTCTGCTTCAATTTTTTTTCTTTCTCAAACTATTTCGACGAATTATTTTTGGTTTCAGGGTCGATTAGGGAACCAAAGCACGGTCATTTAAAAGAACTCCACAAAGCCATCAAGCTTTGTGAACATGCATTAGTCTCATCGGACCCTAACGTTACTTCATTAGGAAACTATCAGCAGGTTTGATACTTCCATTACGAGACTTGAAAAACTTTTAATTTTTTTACTCAAACTTTCTTTCCTTACACCATCATTGGTTTGCTTATAGTATCGATTTATATTCACAGAAAAAAGCTTGTTTTGTTTTCAGGCTTACGTATTTTCCACAAAACAAGGAAACTGTGCGGCTTTTCTTTCGAACTTTGATAGTAAATCAGCTGTAAAGTTGATGTTTAACAACAGGCACTATAATTTACCTCCTTGGTCAATTAGCATTCTTCCAGACTGCAAAAATGTGGTCTTCAACACTGCAAAAGTATGCATATTTTCCTATTCATGAGTTCAATTCAATCATATACAAGCCTGTTATACTTNGTAATTGGCTTGTTTTGTCTTGTGAATTTCATTAAAGATCGGAACACAAACTTCGCAAGTTCGAATGCAGCAGTCTAATTCTGTGTTTCGCTCGTGGGAGTCATATGGCGAGGACACAACTTCATATGAAGATAGTTCGGTTTTTATAGCTAACGGGCTTTTGGAGCAAATAAATGTCACGAGGGATTATAGCGATTATTTGTGGTACACTACTAGGTAAGCATTTTGAATATCAATTTGGTAAAATATCAATTAGACAATCAAACTTGATTAATAATATCTTACTCAACTTTTTTCTGTTTTAACTTTAGTGTAAAAATTGGTTCATCGGAATCATTTTTACGAGTTGGGAAGAAGCCGATACTGAATGTGAACTCGAGAGGCCATGCTATACATGTCTTTATTAATGGTCAGCTTGCAGGTATATTTGCAAACATATAAACAACTTCTTTTCTAAGTGTACTCTTATGTGATATTTGCATAGACTTCCGAATTGCATTTAGTGAAAAATATAATAGGCTTTCTAATTCATGATGTGCATTTACAGGATCTGCTTATGGGACAAGGGTTAATACAAGATTCACATTCAGTGGACCTGTTAACTTGAGAGCTGGAAAGAATAAAATCTCTCTGCTCAGCATAGCCATGGGCTTGCCGGTTAGTTCCAGCTCAGACCACCTTAAAGTTATTGAAGAAAAATATTATAGAGTAGATACCATTTTTACTCTGTATTCAGCAAATTCAGTAACTAATGAGAACTAACTGCTGTCATGATTAAAAATATATAAAAATGAAGAACAATGGATTTCATTTCGAGAATTGGAACGTGGGATTGGGGCGTGTGGAGCTGGAAGGGCTCGATCAAGGGAAAAAAGACCTGAACAGGCAAACATGGTCTTACCAGGTGAAAAACGAGCGAAAAGTAGTTTTATTACAAAATTTACGTGAAATCTGGATTTTCGTAAAACCACATTGTAACACTTGTTTGTTTATGATGAATAGGTGGGATTAAAAGGCGAGAAAATAAATTTGGTCTTACCCGAAAAGGTTTCCTCTGTCGAATGGACGCGAGTATCGGCTGCCAACCAAAATCAACAGCCTTTGAGATGGTACAAGGTAAAAAACTATTCCTTCCTATTTTTAATAAGTGTCGTTTTGAGAAGTTGTACAGTAATTAAGAATTTTTTTTGCTGATAATAACCCTCATTAATGAGGATAGAGATGGATGTTTTGAGAAAAGATGAATATGAGAAGACGCAGTGTATTTATTAGCTAAATGAGGGTAATAATGAAAAAATATGTACAAAAAATCTAAAACGTCATTTATTTGATTAATTATTGATAAAGCCAAAATGACATTTAAAAAAAATATGAGGTAGTAAAAAACCTACCAAAAAATGTAGATTTCCATGTTATAAAAATAAAAAAGTTCCCGACTCTTGAAAATTCTTGAAAATACCAAATTTTTCGAACTTTGCAGGCATATTTTGACGCGCCAAGTGGCAAAGAGCCATTGGCTCTGGACATGAGGAGCATGGGGAAAGGTCAAGTGTGGGTCAACGGTCAAAGCATCGGTAGATATTGGCTGGCTAAGGCAAATGGCAACTGTGGAGTTTGTCAATATAGCGGCACATATCGATCACCAAAATGCCAGCTTGGATGCGGCCAACCGACTCAGCGCTGGTAAAATCTATTCAAGAAAAAATATAAAGACATCTTAACAATCTGTGAGAACACTTGTAATATCTGTTTATTGACTTCTATATTCCCATTTTTGCTTATAGGTACCATGTCCCAAGATCTTGGCTGAAGCCTACGCAAAACCTGATTGTAATATTCGAGGAGCTCGGTGGAGATGCATCGAGAATCTCACTCGTCAAACGAACGACATCTGGCGTGTGCGCCAATGCGGTGGAACACAACCCAACAGTCGCGAATTATTACCTCACGGAGAGCGTTAACAGAGAACAAAAAATGCTCCACCAGGCAAAAGTTCACCTCCGATGTGGGCCCGGCCAGTTGATATCAGCAATCAAGTTCGCGAGCTTCGGGACTCCAAAGGGCAGTTGTGGAAATTTCCAGCTAGGGACTTGCCATGCCCAAAACTCCCATGACATCATACAGAAGGCATAATATTAGTATATGTAATCAATTCTCTCATTTGCTTCAGGTGGAGATTGATTTATAATTGCTCTTTTTGATGTGTGTGGGTGCAGATGTGCCTTGGGAAGGAAAGTTGTAAGCTTTCGGTGTCGAATAGCTACTTTGGGAGTGATCCTTGCCCGCGCGTTTTGAAGAGGTTATCTGTTGAAGCTATTTGCTCTAATATGGTGGCCTGAAGAATTTCTTTACATCAAAGAAGGCTACTGTGGAAAGAGTTAAAATCGGAGGGAAATGGATAGTGTAGGGGTTTCATGAAGTGAAATGCTTGTGTCATAACTTATGACTCTGTGCATGATCAGGTTAAGGAAGTTTTGTATTCTATCTGTGGATTTGGTAATGTGATAAAACTATAGTTATGCAGAATCCCAGAAAGAAGTATAGATCTTCCTCTGTTTTTTATTTCATATTTTCCGTTGTTCTTGTTCATTCTTTCAAAAAAAAAAAAGACTGCTTGCAGGGAAAACAAATCACATTTGAACATAAAAGAAACTCCACGAGTGAGAAATACTTATAGAAATCTTCGTAGCATAGAATATAAAATATCCAGAACAAAGGAAGCTAGGACAAATCCCTTCATAAATTATTACATGCGCGAATAGAAAGAACAACTAGAGATCAGCAAATTCAGGCAGTAGTAGTAAGGGCACCGTGTAGAGCAACTTTTTGCTGCAAGTCCTCCTTCTTTGCACCAACAATCTTGTCAATCACCTTCCCTTCTTTGAAGAACAAAAAGGTTGGCATAGCCTCAACTTCATGGTCCTCAGCCACAGCCTGCAGAAAATGTCGTCACATGAGATGAGCACAACAAACCAATCATCAATCTTTGGATAAATACGAGATTATTTTTTTTCCAATGCCTTTGAGATTCCTAAAATTCAGATAGGATAAAAAAGACGAATAAAAGCATGATACATGTTATAAAAAGCAAGAGACGAGTACTTTAAAATCTATAGGCGATAAAGGCTACCTTGAGTTCATCCACGTCAACCTTCAGGAAAATAACATGGGGCGTTTTCTTGGCAATTTCGGCCAAAATGGGAGCAATGAAACGGCATGGCCCACACCATGAAGCTGTGAAATCAACCACCACCTGATGGAAAAAAAATTTAAATTTTGCTTAGGAAACATGATAACAAATAAAAGCAACCACAACAAACAGCGCCATACACAATAAAAATATCATCACACACAATTAAAAACAGAGTGAGTCTCACATTAAGGGCGGGTTCTCATTTGAACAAATAAGAGCTTTATATATAAACGTTAAAGCAAATAAGTTTACAGCCAATATGGAAGAAATCAACTCGACCAACAAACACCATCATAAATGTACTCATTTATTAACAGATCAAAGAAAAAAGAAATATTATCAAATTCATTTTTATTCATTTTGGGTTTATTGTTTTCTACCAGCATCCTGCAACCAACATGAAGCTACAAGACCCTATATCAGATAAGCTCGTAAAGGGGGCCTTCTTTCTCTTGTTTATTCCCAACATGTAGCAGATCAACTATCGGACGCTAGATCTTGTGTAAATAAAGATGAAATAAATATAATATTCTACATATACAACATCAGTAAAGGAAAGCCACACAGATTGATCTCAATTTCTGCTCATTCAATAAAGATACAACATGCTTCCTTTACACATACAGGATCGCACGTATCAATGAAAAAGATGGATCTTTACCACAATCCACCTTCTTCTACCCCAATATTGATAACAATTCAACATATTGACATAAATTACTCAAAACATATAAAACACACAAACTCGCACGCGCACTGATATGTAATAAGAAAATACTATACACAGAAGCCCTAATACGCCGTGATTCGCATAATACACTAAAAGGGGTTTTGGACCTACAATTTATCATAATTAAAATTCAAAACAAAACAAAAATGAAGAAAGAAAGAACACGCGCGTAAAAGAGGGATCGAGGGCTTACCAATTTCTTAAAATCGAGGCCCTTCTGGAGCTGCACTTTCCAGTCATCAACGGAGTGGACGCTAATCACTTGTCCTTCCTCAGCTGCTGCCGCTGCCATTTTTTCAATTACAGACAAAAAAGAAAAATCGAAATTTTTTCAGATGTTCTTTTTTATGGCGTTTCCTGTAAGCAAAGAATAAGGGCCTCCCTTATTTATACAGCTGAATGAAGCGGTGCGATTGACCAAAATGTCAAAGTTTTCTAGATTTAAATGACGAATATGCCCTGACGTAAAGGCTTTGGTGAGCAGTGACGCGTGGCAACACATGAAGGGGCCCACCCAGACCCGAATAAAACAACAAGCACGTAATTATCCATTCATATTTTTTATTTGTGTTAATGGCCCTTTATAACACTTAATTAAAAAAAAAATGAAATATAGCCATTTTTTTTGAAAAGTTGAAATATAGCCATTTTATGCGCGTTTGCTTTTCAGGATAAGACGGGCTATCCTGCGTTATCCTACATTAATCCTGCGTTTGGTTTAAAGGACAGCAGCCCGCGTAAATCCCGCCAGTCCGATATTAAAACCCATGTTATCCTGCTTTCATGGGACAACTCAATCCAACCTTTTTGGTGGGATATAAACAATCCTGGTAGTGTAATACCAAACCTGCTACCATATTTTATTTTTTCGGACATTTGTAGCCCTCTATTTCACTGAAATAACCATATGATCATAATAAATAGTTGGATCGGTCAGAAACCCTCCCATATCAAAACGATGTGCATCGACGAGAGAGAGCAAACCCTACCCATCACAGCAACGATCGAGAGAGAGCAGACGACAAAGGTGGATTTCTAAAATCGTTGGCGTTGCTTCTCCTTCGCCGAACTCGTTATCGAAGGTCCGTCGTCCGCTATTCATTTTGTCAACCGATTTCGAAGTCGGACATCTGCGTAAGGTATTGTCGGCATTAATCTGAAATTTTTATATCCCATCTTGCTCTGCCTGTGAATGTGCTTTGGATTTTTGAAATCGTTGGATAATGTAAGGTAATATTTAAATTCTTTTTGCTCAAAAAACTTTCCCGATACGCTAATGCGATTGGATTCTCAATACCAAACTAAAAACAACACAAACTGGTTCAATGGATAATGTGGAACTTGAATATCCGGATTTTATTACCATTTAAATTGAGTTTAATTTTTTAGTCCACCAATAAGTCCTATTAAATCTCAAAATGTAGTAACACTAAAACCAACTAATTAATTGATAAATGTTGGAGTAGTAATTTTGAAGATTAAATATTGTGAGTTGCAAGGAGATTCAGGATCATGGTATTTATATTCATGATTCACGAGCATTCCTTTTTTCTCCTAATTTTGGTAAATACACTTAAGCACACATAAGTAAACTATCATTTCTCATCCTTGGTGCAAAATGACTGATAAGAAGGCATACAGCTTTGCATTTTCTTTGTAGATGGTAGCAACTCAATTGCAGCAAGGAATGTTAATAATTTAATACTTGTATAAAATTTTTGAATATAGTAAGCTCTTGTGTTCTTTCTTTGATAAATGAATTGTCATATAAAAAGGTTTTGAAATAAAAGTTTGTTTATGTGATTAATAAATGGTATACAATTGTGGTGCTTATGACTAGTGAAGTGTTCTTTGCATTGCATATTGTGCAGCTGATCCATTTTTATTGCTCATGTCTCTGTTCTATTGCATATTGTTCTATTGTGGTGCAAATAAATTTTCATGACAATATTTGCAAAGATTGGTATGAGCTTTAATATGGTTTGCATTTGTAATGGGATATATCTGCATTCAGATAAGATAAGATGTCAAGTAATAAGTACCTTATCAATTAACACGTTAGAACATGTGAAAAGGAAGAGTGATGCTGGTCAGTTGAGGTCTGGCCATATTTCACATGGTGGTGTTGGTATATATTTGGATATTTCGTCAACCATGTTATTTCTTTTTGTATTTTTTTTGTTTGTTTATTGTCTTCAGGTATTTATAAAAATTGTTTTAATAATATGATTCTTGGATGTCACAAATCTGTTGCATGAGATATTTTATTACATATGAGTTCCTCAACCGGATTGCATTTACTGCCTACTATGAGTGCGTCAATTTGTTCATGGTCCGTGAAGCCGCTGATGTCAACTTTGATGATGGCCCTGGAGACACGGTTTATGAACCAATAGAGTTTGATGATTCGGATGCACATGAATTTGGGGACCAGCCGGGCGCGACAATTCACTATCCCATCAACTTGGAGGTGGAAGCGGGTCGTAACATTTACAATCCAATCGAGTTGGACGAAGACGAGCCCAAAGAAGACCCCACATGGAAATGGCTTTTGACATGGAAGAGAAGGAAGAAATTCAAATCATCGACGATTTCAATGGTGTGGTTAGTATGTTGATGATTCCGACTCCGGATCATGCATCGATTCGGACTGATGTGGTTAGTATGTTGGTTGTAGTGTAGTCCAATGAGATATAAACCGGCGTATATTCGTGCGTTCTTTGAAAGCACGAAAATTTTCAACATCTAATTGGTTATCGACAAGCCTATGTATTTTGGACTATTGTGTTCGACTTGTACTGATTTTCTGTATTGGTCATTAGCTTTTTGTTACGTATTCTCATTTATTTCCCATATTACTTTTGTTATCAATATATGGAAAAATATAAAAGCACATGTCTGCCGACCATGGTTTAACCAAAAACAATATTTTATTGGGAAAGAATACTTATTTGATTTATTTGAAAGGGGTAAAACAGTATTTACACCACCTACATATTTTTTTTGTTTTTAATTTAAAGTTATCCTACCCCTTATCATATATAACAAACATAGAATTAATCTAATCCCAACAGTACAATCCTTCTCCATTGGACTAAATTAGTCCAATCCCATCCTGAGAAGCAAAAATAGGGCTTTGGGTATTGAAAAGATCTATGTGCCCTTGAACCCATCTTTTTAAATTTTTTTCAGCCTTTTCTTTTTAGCCGAAAAATCGGTCTCCCGCTCCCCAATATCATCATTCTCTCTTTCTGCTAAAAGCAAAAAAATCTCTCTCTCCCGAAATTTCGAGTGTCGGCGAAAATTTTTAAAAAATTTGCAGCGATTTCGAGTGCCGATTTCAATTTGCAGCTCGCCCGCTTATTCCCGATCTGCTCATATTTTCCCTCTTCACTACTCAACTCCGGCACGCCAAAATTCCCACGATTCACCGGCAAATTGACCTCTGCCGGCGACTTCCCGGCAATTTACACCCGCTTTCAGCAAGTGCTCTCCTCCTCCGGCGATTCACTCCAAGATTCACGCCTAAATACCACAGTGTCGCTGCCGCTTCTCTTCTCTTCTCCACCGGCGAATCCCACAGTGTCGCTGCTCTTCTCCTCCGGCGAATCGACCTCCGACGACGACTTCCCGACGCGAGCAAGTAGACCCTCAAGGTGCGGTTCATTAACTACTGCGATTTTTTAGGGCTTCATAGGCGATTGTGAGAGAATTTCTTAAATGACCGTATGAAGTGGCATTTATCCTTCTGGATTTTCTCCAGATCATGTTCAAATGTATTTATAGATATTTGCACGAGGGATCCTACAGGTGGTATTCTTGTTTGAGTTTGAACCAAAAGTAGCATCGCCTGGAGAAATATAACAGCTTCATGTTCTGCACATTATTCTTTTGTATCACATCTGTTTGATTGGGGCGATTTGTAGAAAATCCCTGAGAAGTTTTGAAATTGGGACCTTGAAGTATGATTTTCTTTGACAGAAACTGGAGAAAATGGGTGCTGGCCCACTACCATGAAGGATACCATGAAAGAAGGGAAAAAACCCATATGAAGCCCAAATGAGGTTCCATCCCAAAACCAATTGGTGGAAGGAGGAGTAGCACATTAGTCTTATAAGGTGGGTCTATTTTCCATATATGAACGATGTGGGACAACTCACAAGTGATATTCTAACACGCTCCCTCACTTGTGAGTCCTTCGAAAGCCCAAACCCAACTGGGCTGGGTGCCCCAAGCTCTACTACAAACAGGCTCCCATAAACGGGTACGTGGGGGATAAACAATGGGTACGTCATCACACGGTCCAAGATAGAACCGGCTCTGATACCATGACAGAAATTGGAGGAAATGAGTGCTGGCCCACTACCATGAAGGACACCATGAAAGAAGGGAAAAAAACCCATATGATGCCCAAATGGGGTTCCATCCCAAAACCAATTGGTGGAAGGAGGAGTAGTCCATTAGTCTTATAAGGTGGGTCTATTTTCCATATATGAACGATGTGGGACAACTCACAAGTGATATTCTAACATTCTTCTTAAATTTCCAGTACAAGAAGTGAAGAAACTACCCTCTGGGAATGTGTTAACTGCAGGAAAACCTTGAGAAGGTTTGATATTGGGACCTTTGAAGTTTGATTTCATTTTACATTTTGTTATCCCTGAAAAATAATGTCCCTGATGTGTTCAACCTATCACCAGAGAAACCTAGTTGAGTTTTCGAATTAAACACGTCCTCAGAATTCTTTTTTATTACCCATTTTTAAAAATTGTATCTTGAATAGTGGGCTATTTGTCAAAGAAACACAACCCATCAGGAGTATTTGGATTAATGTAGTTATTTTCTTGGTAATTAGGAAAAAGCCTTATGATAGTTTTTTATAATTATTGTTCTAATTCAGGCTCCCTCATTTATCAACACACAGCTAACGCCAGTCGACCTTGCCTTGAATCCGGGAATACAGACGTTCAAGGCTATCTAGTGGCGCCACATATACAAAGGCTCGGAGGATACAATGTGGGCCAGCCACGGCCACGGCGAGTACTCGGAGATCCCCAGCGAGAAGGAGGTTTTTTTGGCTGTGAAGGCCAGCGAACATGTCATCTGCCATTTTTACCGCGAGAATTGGCCTTAAAAGGTAACAGGTTGTCTCGATTTGTGTGCCTGAGTTTCTGTGGAATTGGCTGAGTTGTGCTTTAATTGGGTATTGTTTGGCGCAGTTTTGTGTAGTACTGAGCAATGTCTGTGTTGTTATAGCTCGTTGATTAAATTTGAAAGTTGCGGGGTCATGATACTAATGAAATTATCTCGAATGCGAAACATGCGATTGAAGAGAGTGAATGGAAGTTTTGGTATGACATGATATGAGATACTGTTCATTTGTTCATTCAGTTGCTCATTGGGTGCTTTGAAGTGTTCGGCTGAGATTTTTTGTTTCGCTTTTCATTTTTATTTTAACCATAGTAGATAGTGTGCTGGGCATAAATATGAGTCATGGTTACATCGGAATTTCGTCATTTCGTAGTTTCTTTGAATGGAGCTCTAATTCAGTGATTTGTTTGGCTCTGTTTGTGTATTACTGAGCAATGTTTGCGTTTTTTATAGCTTGTTGGTTAAATTTGAAATCTAGGGTGTCATGATTCTATTTAAATTATGTCGAATGCGATTGAAGAGAGTAACTGGAAGTTTTGGTATGCAATGGTATGGGGTAATGGTCATTTGCTCATTGGCAGTGGTTTTTCTTTTTCTCCTTTTTTTTTTTAAACCAGAGTCAATAATGAAGGACATAAACTATAGTTAATTACAATTTCAGATTATTTTATACTTAACATTTTGTTGACGTGCATTTTTGCCAACGACTACGAAGCGGCAGTATGCTATTTTAGGGAAGTAATTGTGATTCTAAGATAGGTGAAGACGGAAATAAAGGAAGGGAATGAAAGTAGAAACAACAAGACAATCGATTAATCTTTTAGCCCTTTATCTTTGAAAAACCTTTAGTTTTTTTTTATCATAAGAGTTGAAACATTTCTCAATCTTGACATGAAGTCCACTTGAGTTCAAAAATATTGTTCACAACCAATCCTCAACTCTTGTTTTCTTCTCTCTTTTCCTGAAGGACTATATTGTATTTATTTTTATCTATTTTTTTATTTTTATTTTTTCTCATTTTGCTATTTTTGAATACTGTGCAGGTTCTACGGATTGAAAGCATTTGAAGTTAATTTCTCATTTTCTAGTACGAAGCTCATTTCTGTTTTCAGATTTGTTTCATTCGTATTGTATTCTTGGTTGCGAGCTTGTTAGATTGTGTTATTATTGGATTTTGGTCTTATTTATCCACATCGTAATCTTGCATGTGAGCTTGTCAGATTGTGATGTTGGATTTTGCTGTTATTCATTCATATCATATTATTGTCTGTGAGCCTGTTAGATTGTGATGCGAAGCATTTTCCTTTCATTATCATATTCTTGCCTGTGAGCTTTTTAAATTGGGATGATGTTGGATTTTGATGTTATCCATTCATTATCATGGTCTTGTTTGTGAGCTTATTATGATGTTCTGGATATATTTGCTCTACTCTCGAAATGCCTGTAATACTACGGAATCATTGATTTTTTTGGATTTGGTTGATGATCTCACTTTCGTAAACGTAATTTTTGAATATTTTGTTTATAAGTGTGTGTGTGTGTGTGTGTGTGTGTGTGTGTGTGTGTGTGCAAGTGTGTATTTACGGTTTTGTGTGCACACTAAATATGTGGGTTAAGTATTGTAAAAATGTAAGTTCCGGCATTTCTTCATTTTTTTTAATTTAAAAACAAATCTTCAAACAAACCACTTACCTCTTTGTGGTGCTAGTTCTTGGAACACGGCGGGGATGACATCTACTAATGAGGTATGTTTTTGTTTTGTGAACAAAGAGTTCTATAGTTAGTTTATGTGAATATTTTTTCTTGAGCAAGAAACCAAGTATCTTGAGCATTCTTGAACAAGAAACAAGTTTCTTGCCAAGAAACAGATTTCTTGCTCAATAAACAGGTTTCTTGGCAAGAAACCCCTGTGGCAAGAAACCTGTTTCTTGTTCAAGAAACCTGATTCTTGCTCAAGATACCTGGTTTCTTGCACAAGAAACCTGTTTCTTGTTCAAGAAACTTGTCTCTTGTTCAAGAAATGTGTTTCGTGCAACTTTTGCTTTGTTGTTTATTGACAGATTTGTATTTATGTTTTTTTATGTGAAAAAAATATTTTTTTTCTTGAGCAAGAAACCAGGTATCTTGAGCATTCTTGAACAAGAAACCCCTGTTTCTTGCCAAGAAACCTTTTTCTTGGCAAGAAACATGTTTTTTGTTCAAGAAACCTGATTCTTGCTCAAGATACCTGGTTTCTTGCTCAAGAAAACTGTTTCTTCTTCAAGAAACCTGTTTCTTGCTCAAAAAACTTGTTTCTTACTCAAGAAACTTGTTTCCTGTTCAAGAAACCTGTTTCCTAACAATTTTATTGAACAAGAACATGTTTCTTGAAACAGTTTTATTGAACAAGACTTGTTTAAGAAACTGTTTTTGCTTTGTTGTTTCTTGACATATATTTAAGTTTATTTATTTATTTTTTTTTATATTTAAATCCTGTGTTTTTGAAATGCTAGAAATTGTTTAAAAAAATAATATTAATTATTTCATGATTTGTAGGGTGATGCTTGGAGTTGAAGATGGCTGATGAGAACCGGACTTTCGAGTGGAAATCGGATCGCATGGATGATGTCGAGAGAAGTTGGATTTTCATGTATTAGATAGGATAATTATGTTAGTTTCTTTTTAAATTTTAAATGTGTTGGTTAGGATTAGTTATAGGTTTAAATCTTTAAATTTGAATGATGTTGTAGTATTATAAATAGGACCTTTGTATGAGCATGCGTACTGTAGTGGAAAACTATAGTATTGTTGTTATTTGTGGGTTGAATTTGTTGGTCTTGGGACTTGCATATTAATTCAGTATTGTTGTTATTTGTGGGTTGAATTTGTTGATATTGGTGTGCCACAGAAAGTTTGTTGATGTTAGGAGCTTGAGTATGTTAGTAATTGTTGGTTTTGGAAAAATTGTCTTTTGATTTTTGTGAAAAATATTTTCATTTGTTCATTTTGTTTTAGAAATTGTTGTGTCAATTTTTTTGTTAATTATTTAAAAGAAAAATTAAAAGGAATAACCAAATGTCGCGAGTCGCGGGTCTTGAAGTGCTTGGGACTCTGTTCATGCCAAACGACAACTTCGCGCAACATAGATATGAAGAAATAGATATCAAATCACAGTATTAGACTTTCTAATTCTGTGTATATATATATATGGCTCAAACATTCCAAACACCTCACAAAATCTTTAAGTCAGAGGCAGACGCCATAACCGAGCCCTTCTGCTTACAACACTGCTAAATACTATAGCCCTCACCCAAAACATAACAGGGGGCAATGAAAATAAACCAAAAATAAAAATCTCATTCTATAACTTTCACAAGAATTAAATTTTCAAAATAATAATAACAATAAACGTAAAATAAAATAATGAACGAGTAATCGAGCGGAAAATAACTTCAACTTATTTATTCCTATCTAGTTCGGTCCAGGTCTTGATCTTTCTCTGGGTTGCCGGGTCCACCTGTTCCCCTCGATCCAGGGATGGTTTAGGCCCATTATTCTTGTGTCATTTTTCTAGATTGGTCTGTTTTTGGCCATTTTCTAGATCATCTCTTGAACCACATAGCAATCTCGAAATCCTGCATCACTAGGGCTCAGTTCAACATAGTGTGTGCTTGACAAAGTTGTGAGTTCAACATCAATCGTTCTACTCCCAGCCTGGTAAACAAAACATTTAAGTTTGTGCTCAAATGATCAAACAACACAACAAACTTGTGGTTCTAAAAAGACATTAACCAACAATTATGTCATAAGAAGATTGTAAGCAGAGAACTCACATCAACTTTCCAGTTCTTGTTTTTCATTTTCACCTGCAAAATTATATTTACAGAGCCACGTCAGAACAACCTCATTTAGTTTATGAACTCCATATCAAAATTTACATTTTTCACTCATCATCAATGACATTAAAGATTGATTCACATTTCTTATACATAGTTTAGTTTTTATTTTTTTATTTTTTATTATTTACTTCGCTCTTCCCTTTTCATTTTAGATTCAACGGATAAAGCAGTAGTTGATTTGGGAGCTAAATACATCAAATAAAATCCGAATTTCCATTGAACTTATAAAATTGTAAAGATCATCTTTTTATGTATTTGCTTTTAGTAGACAAGCTGTAAACAAATGTTTCAGCTATAACACCTTACTCGACAATTCACAGAAAGTTTGTCTACCTCCCATATTACAAACTATCAAACAAAACCTTAAAACAAAAAATGAATAAAACTAAAATCAGAAGCTAGCTAGCAATCTCTCACCTTTTCGGCGTTGGGACAAAAATTTTGCCTAAGACGAGTGTTTGTCCCATTTTTGTGTCTTTATTTCATGTTTATTTTCTTTTTGTTTTCCCCCATTTGTAGGATTTTTGTAGTTTATTTGGTCCATTTCGTTCGTTTTGTGTTTTTGTCTTTAGTTTATATTTTTGTATCTTTTTGCCGTGTTTTGCTTCGTGTTTTTTCTGTATTTGTGTTTTCAGGAGGTAGGTTGTGTCGGTCGAGGATGGGACTGCTTGAGCCAAGACCAGAAAATCGAGAATTCCCGTTGACCGAGCCAAGAAGACGACGAAGAGGACCGAAAAACGGACAGAAACCATGTGCAGAATGTTTCGCGACTCGCGAGTGGAGTCGCGACTCGCGAATGGGTCGCGCCTCGCGGGGAAAACTGAGGCTATAGATGATTTCCGAAGAACGAGTCGCGACTCGCGAGTCAAGGTCGCGACTCGCGAGATGGAGTCGCGACTCGCGAGTCAGGTCGCGACCAAGCCCCTGAATTTAAAGAAGAAGACGACGCGCGACTCGCGAGGAAGTCGCGACTCGCGACCAAGACAAAGGCCATCTCGCGACTCGCGACTCAAGTCGCGAGTCGCGACTTAACCGACGCGTTTTTCGAGGAGCGGGATTTTAATGCTGTTTTTGATCCTAGGTTTATTATTCACCATTCCAACTTTGTTTTTACGTTCTCTCTGGAGAAAAAACCATTCCTTTTCTTTCTTTTGCACTTTTGATTGGTTTTGGAGATTGAAAAACTCATTTTCTACGCTTTGGATCTGGATTGTTCATTGGATTTGACATTGGATTCTCTATATAAATCGTAAGTTATTTTTCTCAATTCCTTTGTTGATGATGATGGCTTGGGTTTGTGTGAATGTTAATGTTGAATTCCATATGAGTAGCTAAATCCACTCGCTAGGGATAGGGGATGATTGATTAGGTTCGTTATAATTGAGTGCTTTTGATTGTTCATGTCTATTCGAGTTGTGTGAACCATAGGGTTAGGAGATTGATCACCTTTCTAGCCTAAATAATCAACGTGTAGAACCGAGAGGGGAGACGTTGGTAGAATTAGGCTCGTTTAGAATAGATTTGTTCGGAAGCGTATAATCTATGAGTTGTTGGAATTGATAGTTAATCGTTAACGTTCACTCTCTTGTTACGAAGAGTTATTGAGAGTAAACCTCTGAACGAGAAACGACTCAAGACCTTTAACCGAGCAATCGAATGCCGGTGATTGTGTTAGAACCGAAAGCAATTATCCCCGATTCCCTAGCACTTTCTTCATTCAGAAAATTCATTAGCTATTTGCCTTCATTTAATTTAGTTGCATCAGTAGTTGGTAGTTGAAACCCCAAATATTGAAATAGAGTGTTTAGGAATTTTTCTTCTATTTTTCGTGACTGAATATACGCACAAGAATTTCCGGCTAACCTTCCTTGCGATACGACCCGGGGACGAATCTTTCGATTCTACTCCGGTTAAAATACTGACAACAACGAGCCATTATTAGGGTTTTCTCAACCGAGCCAGACGGCCCGTAGAACAGCAATTGTGGACAATCTTGCTCCGTCACCTGCACAATACAACGCCAAAACAAAATCAAAGAACAAAAACAGAACAAATTTCATATCCATTCACCTCAAACCATAGAAAGAAGCGTTTGAAAGAACACGAACCCGCCAAGCAACAGAACATTATGCGGTAGGTAGAGGCAGAAGTCGATAAGCTCAGAAAAGTGTTATCAATTACGAGGGTACTAAAAAAATCTAAAAAGTGTTCCGTTATTGAAGATTGAATTGTAGTCTGTCTTAGTAGTCCGTCAATCCACTCCTGATACGGAGAGGTATGAAATAGCTCGAACGAAGTGAGAGGAGTTCTATAGATTGCTGAGAGAGGATGAGAAGTAGTATGTCCGGTTCACTAGGTTCTACCACTGCAAGGCTCAATCATGCTAGTTGGGCTAATGCTTAACACATGCAAGTCTAATGAAGTCTTCCCAGAGTCTGTGCCAAGCTCTTGAAAGGCCCTAAGAGCGTAAATCATCAGTTCCAATCCTTTAAAAGAGGTCAATTTTAATTGAATTTTGGGAAGATGAGTAATTATTATTATTTTTTTTAACAGGAGCCCGCCCCCAGAGGAGAGAAGAAAAGAGGAGACTCTTTTTGTTGGAGATGAAGTCGTCGGCGTGTGCAGAGTAGAAAAGAGGAGACTCTTTTTTCTTTTTTTTTTTCTTTTTTTTTTTATATTTCTTTGGTAGTTAAGACATAAATAAGGGTAAAATTATACTTTTAACTCCTAAAATGACTATATTTCATTTTTTTCTAAAACATGGCTATATTTCATTTTTTGATTAAAAAAAGTGCTAGAAAAGGGTGGCTTGATTTAATTTTCTTCCTGCTGACCGTTAACAGTTTTTTTAATTTATTTGCGGATTGACTGAAGAAATAAACGAATTTATTACAGTTCGGTTCAAATTTTTTGATGGTCATGGAATGGGGACGCCATGCCGACCATGTTCAGAGGAATACTGATTTTCACTTTTCATTTTTTTTTTTAATTATGATTTTCATTATGATTTTATTTTATCGTGTTCTTAAAAAAATGTGTAAAATTCTCATTGTGATCTAATAAATTTTTTCATGTGTTTTTATAAATCATAGGTTATTCATTCGACAATAAAGAGTTATAATGTGTAGGACAATTTTTCAATTATAGACTTATAGTTATTCGACATGAAAAAAAAAAAATTACATTTTCATTGAAAACTTCATAGTACACAAAGTTATTAGTTTAATTTTTTGATAACTCAGTCAACCCCACAAAATATTTCAACTCTTTTTGTATAACCTGCCAAAAATCTAGTCTGACACAATCGCTTTATTTACATTTAACACTCATAAGAGACTTGTTTATTTGTAATGGCTCTCAAAAGTATATATCAATAAGTTAGTAAATATGCTAGTAGTTAATTTAAAACTGTTGAAAGAATCAAATTAAATTCAAGGAGTAACATACTCTAAACTAGTAGAGGATCTTGTGCACATGCACATATATAAATTATGAAGTATTATAAATTATGTATTTATATAATATTAAAAATATAAATGAAATAGTGTATATATCATACTTTATTATAAATTTGATTATTAATAAATAAACAATATACATATAAATTATTTAACCACACATGAATCTCATATTAATTGCATAAAATGTAATACATATACATCAAATATTTTTTGTTTGAGTGCGTAAAATGTAATACATAACATATGTTTGAGTGCATAAAATGTAATATATAACATACTTTTTGTTACTCTGAGGGATCATGACCAATTAATTACCTAGACAAATATTGAAATAATAATATTTATAATTATTAGAAATTGTTTGAGGGGTTTTTATGATATGAAATTAATTATATGGTTACAAAACTAATATTACTTTCAGTATAAATAGCTTGAAAAAAAAATATAATATTTTTTTATGAATTTATAACTTACATTTAAGGATGGATCTAGGTCATAAAGTGAGTGAGGGCATAATTGTTTTAAAAAATATAATACATAATAAAAAAATATAAATATGCAAAAATACACCTTTATAGTTATTTTTATGAATTTTTATATCTTGACATTGCTCTATTATAACATCGTTGAATTTTTTACTGCATTTTCTTTTGGCCAAAAAATATTAGGATTCACGGGAGATATATTTGGACTGAAACTAGCTCATTTTGAGATATTTTTACATGTACTTCTTTGTCAAGGCATGATTTGATATAAAACAATATATTATAATGCTTTATGTAATATATCAAACTTTTAAGAACCGTACAATTTAAGTTATCAATCACACACATAATTAAATATATGATATGAGTCTATTAGTTCATTAAAAAGAATTAATTAACCATAGTTTTTAAACTCGGCCCGGGAATCGACACGGGCAGGTCTCCGGGTCACCGGGTCACTGGGTCAAATGCTGAACCGGATAAATAATTTTAATATTTTTTAATTTATATATAGAGTATTTTGTCTTATAAATATACATAAAAATAACAAAATTAAATATTTTGTATATAAAATTTGCACATTAAAGTGCTAATAATATGTATTTCATGATAAATATTTACCATATAAATATATATAAATAGTTTTATTTTTTAAAAACAAAAAATATATTAAAAAATAAAAAAAATAAAAAAAAATATATAGGACCGGGTCAACCGGGTTGACCCAACCGGGTCAATGCCCCGGGTTGACCGGGTTTGACCGGGGCCATTGTTTCCCGGTCCGAATAGCCCACCCGGACCGGTTCCAGCTCTGGGTCGACCAGCCGGGCCGGTCCGGGTTGAAAAACACTGTAATTAACTACAAGAAATCTACAAAGTACAAATATCTTTTAAGTTTTCCTTTTAAAACCTAATAAAAGGAAGGGTTGGATCCACTTTCAATAAAATCAATAACAACAATAATTTATTTCCCCATTATCTCTCTTTTGTTATTTTTCTATTATCTCCTTTTTTTTTTCTTCGCAGCAGGATAGTGTTTCTTAATTTCTTTTACTATTTTTAATTAATGATGTATAAGCTATTTCTTGCGTCTTAACTCTTAAGGATACATAAGTCACGGATTTTTTTCTTAGGCCCACACTCGTCTATACCTAGATATGCTCCTGCACGTGATAACATTAATAACAAATAACCATTAGTAAAAATTATTTAATGCATATAATGTTTGTATGTCAGTAATTTACTCACAGAATAAAGAAGATTCATCAACATGGTTTGATGTTGCACTCAGAATAGATCGACAGACCGGCCTGAACAAGTAGCTCAACAAGGTCGGGTTAGAAGAGCCCTCGCATGTACAGAAGTAAGATACTCGGTCAAGTAGCTCATATGCGGGCTTATGGTACCGACTGACCTGAAGAGATACGACTGAGGGTGCCGACATCCAGAACCCGGGAAAGTAGCCGATCTTGGAGTATCGTGGTCGTGTGATCGGAGGACAGATTAGGCCTCAGGCGATGTCGGGTTAGACCTTGAGACAAGGTCAAGTTCGACCTCAGATAAACCACAATAGACAGGTCAGGAGGTAGGAGTTATGACCTAAGGACCCTTTGGGATAAAACACTAGGGGGAAAAATCCTAATAAGAAAGAAAGAATTGATCGCTCATGGACTCTTACATAGAAAGAATGTAGTACGTTAGGAATTAGGATCTGGTTGGATTTTTTTCCTAACAAGGACTCTCTTTGTCACCAAGATATCTACCCTATATAAGGATGACATGTTCTTCTTTACAAAACACCGCATTCTACGCCTTTTACTTACATAATTCATATGTACAGTGTTGAACGAGTTATGACTTGAGTGTCGGAGGTTTTTCTGTTAGGACATCCTCCCGACATATTGCAGGTCATCAGAGCTCAAGGACAAGGACCGTCCGAGGCGTAGGCGTACGTTCAACCTCATTCGTGACACAAAGTGACGTAACATTGTCGATATAACGTGGAGTAGAAATTTTCTAAAGACGAAGCAGAAAATAGGAAAATCCTCCTTATACTTGATGATCTTGTTCCTCACATGAATAATGAGCTTAAATTGTACAATTGTGGACCGATATTTGGCAAGATTAGTCTTTACTTGATAATTACGAATACAAATAACTACTTGATAATTATGGATAAAAAACTCTACACTCTTCAAGGTTTTTTATTTTTATTTTATTTTTGTTGAAACTCGAAAATGTTCACCGCACGAACCAAACCAGAAGCACGTCCACCCTTAAAAGATCAAATAAGAGTTTAGTATCTAAACTAATTAATAGAAACCCAAATTAACACACACACATGCACGCGCTCGTGTGTGTGTGTGTATATATATATATATAGGAGCTGATTCAAATAAAAATTAGTCTTGGTGTGAAAACTGTGAGAACCATATTTGATGCTATTTTTAATTGTGTATGATACTATTTTTAATTGTGTATGATGCTATTTTTAATATTATATGATACTATCATTTTTACAAATGTTAATATAAATTGTGTTGCTATTTTTAATAAAAAACATCATGGTTAAAAACAACACTAAAACACAATTAATCATAGCACTTCATACAATTAAAAATAGCAGTTCTCACGCTAGGACTTGGTTCTCATTTAAACCAAATCCTATATATATGTATATATTTGCGTATAGTGATGTGAAACTTTGCCTCGAACCGGATCGAACCGGAACACCACGAATGGATGTCGACGTTGAGATCTGGTAACCTGCAAAATGTCGGGAAGGGGTCCTGGTAGAAAACATCTGACGCTCAAGTCAGTATCTGCTCGTGAGAAAATTGGCAATATGTATGCTTAAGTACGTATGTATGCAATGTATGTAAAATAAAAACCTAGTTACTTAGGGTGTCTTGATGCCCAAAAGAGTCCTGATTAGGAAAAGGATCCTTTGGTATCCACTTTCTAACCTACAACGTCTCTAGAATTTGAGACTTCTTAATCAAGATATATTTTCCATTCCGAAAGGATCTTATCCTCTTTTACCATACGGCTCTTAGGTCCCCTAGGTCACCCTATCGCCTAACTGCGTAATCGAACTTTACAGTTAGGTCGTAACCACGACCTCCACCTCTATGACCTTTTGACCATGAGGTATCATTCATTATTCGAGCTCTTGTCATTCTCAACCTACGTGCTCACACCTAAGTGGGCTCCTTTGACAAGGTTGTACGTTAAAAATGAGTTAAGCTCCTTTAAACCGACCATAGACGAGCTAATCACCCAGGCCGATTCACTGAGCTATTCTGGTGCTACTACCCCTTTTTCCTTGCCCAAATCTAGTTCGTACTAAAAGTTCCCTCTCCAGAACGACCTGATAGAACTCAGTCAGCTCTACACCTCCCTCTAAATCATTTTACCTCAAACTCGATACGTACTATCATAAGGTTCACTATCCTTAGTCAGCGTCTATTTAACAGGTTAGACACTGACTTCTTCTTCTTCTTTTTTTTTTTTATTATTGTTACTGGTCCTTCATTTCGTTTCTTCGGTACAGTACAATATGAGATGGTTCAGTTGGGTCCTCAGTATGGATATTTGAGAAATCTCCATCGGCGTACTAATTACTTTTTCGATTTGGTTCGAACAAAGTCAAACGCTCAGCAATTATTTTTCTGTTCGGAGTGAATTTGATTTGGTTTTCAAAACGATTCAAAATTTTTTCAAGTCACATGCTAATCCCAAGTGTATTGTATAAGAAGTGTTGGAATCATGTGTTGTATAGTATTGTATGCGACGAAGCGCAAGTTGAGTGGTAAGACGCTTTGTCCGATAGGTCATGAGTTCGAATCAACGAAGAGGAAAAATGTGAACAGTGTTACTCCTCATTTAAATGAGTAGAAAAAAAAAAAAAGAAAAGTATATTGAGATATGCACACATATATGACGTATCCAACTTAAAAATATTTCCCGAAAAAAGCTCTGACATTTCCTCTTCAGTTCTATCCATTCGCCGGTCGGCCTCTCTCTCACTGAACAGAGGAAGAATGCTCTCATGGGTTTTGCAGCAAGCTTCACCTTCAATTCTCAACTTGTCTTCTAATACGGCGTCGTTGGCTCCACTATCTGCTTTCACCTCTCAACCCTTTCCTCTCAACTGGTACGCCCTATCTTCTTCATCCAGAACTCGAAACCTGCAAATTTCTATATTCCTCGGACTTGGCATTAGCTGATTATGAATTCATGAACATCAAACATGTCATTTTCTTTGCGTATGTTCAAGGTCAAATGTATTTTTGCTATTCATACAGTATGCGCAGAACAATTTTCTACCTTTGTCTGGAACTTGCGAACATGACCCATTTGTTCATGATATCATATCATCATGAATCAAATACATCATGGCTGTTGTTTCAATTAGTATGTTGCTTTGGATGTACATATTCTTCAACTTGCTATCTATTACTATATTGAACATTCCTTTCCTCTGTCCATATTTGACTCGGAACAAGCTAAAGGAAGAATTCTAAATGATAACACACACAGAGAATGTGATTGTGTTAGTGTTTGTGTGTTCGGTTCAATTACTTAACGATATAAAAAGAAAAGAAAAACATGGTTTTTCATCTTCTTTATTAATAACACGAATTTGAACACAGTTCACGCAGAAAATGGATTCACCAGAAAAATCACCGGGCCATCGAACTGAAATGCGTTCTTTCTAAAGTCAAGAACCCGCCATCCCCAACTCCCGAGAACCTTGTGAAAGAATCCCACAAGTACTTTGATGAGGTGATAATCACTGTCCGAGCTGGAGATGGAGGCCACGGTGCCGTACTCAGCCTGCCGAACCAAAACACCCCTTCAAAATCTAAGGGGAAATTTGAGAAGGAAAAAGCAAGGAGAAAAAGTTCGTACAAGAGGGATTTTGACGGCTCAGTTATCCTCCCTGTGGGTGGCCATGGTGGAGATGTTGTGATTTATGCAGACGAGACCAAAGATACCCTTTTGGATTTTCACAGGAAGAGTCGGTACAGTGCAAAACGTGGGGGGAATGTTGATGCCATGGGCATTTTGTCGTCTCAAGTCCACAATGGACTAGCTGGCCCCACACTACGTATTCCAGTGCCTTTAGGTTTGTTTTTCTGTGTACAGATTGAA